CCATAATAGAGGCCCAACTTCAATGTATACCCCAAATTAAAGAAACACAGTAAAAGACTAAAAAAGAGCCACCGTGGCTTAACCATGTAAAAGAAGCAGTGAGAGATAAAAAGACTTCCTTTAAAAAGTGGAAGTCAAATCCTAGTAAGGCAAATAGAAAGGAGCATAAACGCTGCCAAATTAAGTGCAAGAATGTAATAAGAAAAGCCAAAGAGGAGTTTGAAGAATGGCTAGCCAAAAACTCCAAAGGTAATAACAAAATGTTTTTTAAGTATATCAGAAGGAGGAAGCCTGCTAAACAACCAGTGGGGCCCCTTGATGATCGAGATACAAAAGGAGCGCTTAAAGATGATAAAGTCATTGCAAAGAAACTAAATGGATTCTTTGCTTCAGTCTTCACGGCTGGGGATGTTAGGGAGATTCCCAAACCTGAGCCGGCTTTTGTAGGTGACAAATCTGAGGAACTGTCACAGATTGAAGTGTCACTAGGAAGAGGTTTTGGAATTAATTGATAAACTTAACATTAACAAGTCACCGGGACCAGATGGCATTCACCCAAGAGTTCTGAAAGAACTCAAATGTGAAGTTGCGGAACTATTAACTAAGGTTTGTAACCTGTCCTTTAAATCGGCTTCTGTACCCAATGACTGGAAGTTAGCTAATGTAACGCCAATATTTAAAAAGGGCCTCTAGAGGTGATCCCGGCAATTACAGACCGGTACGTCTTACGTCGGTACCAGGCAAATTACTCGAAACAATAGTTAAGAATACAATTGTCAGACACAGAAAAACAAACTGTTGAGCAATAGTCAGCATGGTTTCTGTAAAGGGAAATCGTGTCTTACTAATCTATTAGAGTTCTTTGAAGGGGTCAACAAACAGGTGGACAAGGGGGATCCAGTGGACATAGTGTACTTAGATTTCCAGAAAGCCTTTGACAAGGTCCCTCACCAAAGGCTCTTAAGTAAAGTAAGCTGTCTTGGGATAAAAGGGAAGGTCCTTTCATGGATTGAGAACTGGTTAAAAGACCGGGAACATAGGGTAGGAATTAATGGTAAATTCTCAGAATGGAGAGGGGTAACTAGTGGTGTTCCCCAAGGGTCAGCGGGGATATGATAGAGGTATATAAAATCATGAGTGATGTGGAGAAAGTGGATAAGGAAAAGTTATTTACTTATTCCCATAATACAAGAACTAGGGGTCACCAAATGAAATTAATGGGCAGCAGGTTTAAAACAAATACAAGGAAGTTCTTCTTCACGCAGCACACAGTCAACTTGTAGAACTCCTTACCTGAGGAGGTTGTGAAGGCTAGGACTATAACAGCGTTTAAAAGAAAACTGGATAAATTCATGATGGTTAAGTCCATTAATGGCTATTAGCCAGGATGGGTAAGGAATGGTGTCCCTAGCTTCTGTTTGTCAGAGGATGGAGATGGATGGCAGGAGAGAGATCACTTGATCATTGCCTGTTGGTCCACTCCCTCTGGGACACCTGGCATTGGCCACTGTTGGTAGACAGGATACTGGGCTAGATGGACCTTTGGTCTGACCCAGTACGGCCGTTCTTATGTTCTTATGATTTCAGACCATTTCTCTAATTTGTTAAGGTTATTTTGAATTCTAAACCTGTCCTCCAAAGTACTTGAGCTCCCTCCCAGCTTGGTGTCATCTGCAATTTTATAAGCATACTCTCCATTATCCTAGTCATAATGAAAATATTGACTAGTACTGGACCAAGGACAGACCCCAGTGGGACCCCCATAGATACACCTACTCCTGAGGGAATTCTGCACCAAAAAAATAAAAATTATGCACACAATATTTTAAAATTCTGCAAGTTTTGTTTGTCAATAAATAATGTGGCTCCAGTATGGCAGTGGGGAGCACAGGCCAATGGCTGCACTGAGCTGGGACATCATCCTGAAGCCCCGACCTCCCCCACTACAGGGACTTGGCAGTGAGGCTGCGCCCAACCCTGACAGTGCAAGGACTGGGCCTGCCCCAGAAACACCCCAGGGCCCTGCCCCTCTGCGCCAGGTGCGGGTGGGCAGGCTCAGCCCAGCAGGATCCAGGTGTGGGGCGAGAGGTTTCTGTGTGGGGCAGTCTGGGTGCAGGCGGCTCAGTGGGAGATCTGGATGCACAGGGGCTCATTTGGGGGTTCCGGGTGCAGGGGCAATGGGACTCTACAGAGGATCCAGGTGGAAGGGGGGCCTGGGTGTGGGGAGATGGGGCTCAAGGAGGAGGGGGGGGTGTGGGGTTCTGGGTGTCCAGGTGCAGCTGGTTGTAGCTCAGTGGGGTGGGGAGCTTGTCAGGGGAGGGGGAGAAGGTCCAGGTGTAGGGAGGTTCAACAGGCCTGGTTAACAGGGGAGCCACAGCTACTGCCAAGGGGATGCTGCAGGCTGGGCTCCCACTTCCCCCCCCACAATTCCCCTATCCTCTTTTCTTCCTCCTCCCCCACTGCCCCATGCCTCATTCCCCACCCCTCACTCCATGGGTGCTGGAACAATTTGTATTGGGGGAGGAGGGGAGCTGAGAGCCATTGAACCAAACTGGCATGTAATGGAAACCATGTCAAGCCGGGGGTGCAGGAGCACCCTCCACACTGCTCATTCCAGCACCTGTGCCTTACTCCCACATTCCCCTTTCCCCCACCCTGCCTTACCCAGCCCCACCACAGGCACTCACTCTTGCACAGAAAACAAGAGGGCTGAAGGGGAGCAGGACTGGCACTAGGACCCAGGAGGTGGCGCTCAGCTGCAGTCCGAAGTCCAGAGGCAGCCACCTTTGGCTGGGTAGCTCTGTGCTTGCACCCACCTTGTAGCAATTTCATCTAGACCACATTTCCCTGATCTCCTGGGTCCCAAGTCCAGGGGGTTAACTACAAGATGGACCATACTGTTTTCCTAGTGGTGAATTCTGTGAAAGGACAGGACAGACAGCAGACTCTTTATTCTACAACAGAAACAGTCTCTCCAGGTCTATCTGTATCTCAGGCAGTGCTGCATATGCCTAACCCTAGTGCTCTATATGCATCTTGCAGTGTATGGATTCATTGCCCAGGGACTTTCTATAAACAAGTCTTTCTGTATATTGCAGAGAACTTCAACAGTGTGAATCCAGACACATTACTCTGTTATGGTAAAAGGCTAAAGAAATGGAGACCAAGCTGTCTGCCATTTTACTGGATAAAATCTCAGATCAGAAAATTGACTTTAAACCTGAGGCTGCCCACTGACTGCAACACCTGGTAGCCTGAGGCGTATGTGAAATCTGCAGCAGTCCATCTCTCCTTACCCTCAGGTTGCAATGGAACTTCTGCACTGCTCACTGCCATCTCCTGCTGTAATGGGAGATTGAAACAGCATGTGCCATGGACCTCCCCGCAACCTGCACCCAGACTCCAAACACGAAGGCTTCTAAAGCTTTATCCTGTGGGAATGTTAACTGTAAACAGGGGCTCCTGAAGGGAAGAAAGAGACAGTGACTTACAGGGACTGACATACATTCAAATGAAAGCTCTAGATATTCTGGGTCTGGTAAAACCAGAGCATTGTGAATTAGGAGTTTGTACAGGGGCTTTGAGCCTCTACATAGAAGGAACATGCTAAAATTTAGCAACTACTGGTTTTAGCTCTCAGATGCAGCACCCCTTCTTTTGTTTTGGAGATAGGGAGTTTTGGGTTAAGTGGTTGTTATAGAGAAAGATTTATTTTAAAAGATTTAGGTAGCTACAAGTACATTACAGTAATCTCTCTTTACAGATTAGACTTGGAATAGCAAAATTTTTAGTGATTGTACTTTGTATCTGAAGAAATTACTTTCCTTAATGCCTAGTTTGTTCATATAAAGTTTGTTGACAGTGCAGTGACTTTGTGATGAGCCCTTATCCAATCCAGACAGACAAGCTGGTTCTTTGTTTTTTCTCCACTGGGTCTAGCGTGATGTGTGGGGCAACAGGAGAGAGAACCGATGAGCTGGGCCAAACCGAGCAGCCTTTAAAATGAAAAAGCCTTTTCACAGAATTCTAGTTTATTACTTACATGCAGCATTCTAGTTATGGATCAGTATAAATGCAAATCCTCAAAGCCTTGTTTAGGAGATTACTGTGGTAGTGGTGAAGTGGGGAGTGGGTTGCTGGCAAAGGTGAGTATCAAGGTATTTTCAGTTAGGAGGAGGGAGCTTTTCAAATATTTTTGGATGGTGGGGGAAGCAGCCTAATGGGAAACAGCTAGAAATCGAATTGTTTCATTTTGGGATTTTTATCAACTCTCTCAAACCAAAATCCTATTACTTGCTAGATCCTGTGCTAAGGAGCTTTTCTGATGACGGGATCTCTTTCCTCCCAGCCCAAAAAGGTCTTGTCCAAAGCCATATCTTCCACTTTTAATCATCATCATTTGAGCACCATGATCACTAGTATGCCAGATGCAATGCCTGCCAGTCCCCATCATAAGACATTTGTACAGCTCAGCACCAATGATGCCACCCCATTTACAATTGTATTTTGAGACTTGTCAGTTAGCCAGTTAACGAACGTAATGTGTGCCTTTGTCGATTTTGTATCCTTCTAGTTCTTAGTCAAAATGTCATGAAGTACCAAATCAAATGCCTTACAGAAGTCTAAGACTTGAAGTCAAAGACACTATTACCTTTATCAACCAAATCTGTAATCTCATCAACAAATATCAGATTAGTGTGACAGGATTTGTGTGCCATAAATCTATGTTGATTGATTAATGCCAATCAAGAATTAAAGGAAGATAATATAATTAAGTCCCATATCAGCCACTCTCCAGTATTTTGCCTGTGATTGATTTCATGATTTTTCTAAAGAGATCAGAAAAAACACCACTTTCAATTAGCAAGGACCTCTTGGAATATTACCTCCACTTTAACCATTAACCTAAAGAGGTAGAGACAAGGGAGAGAGGAAATGGAGGAAGACAGCCAAAAGAAGGAAAAAGTTGGAAGGAGGATAAGGATCCAAGATGAAAGACTTGAGTCTTGAAGGGGTGCACCAGACAGCAGAATTTGACGCTATTCACAAAAAGAAGAACAGGAGTACTTGTGGCACCTTAGAGACTAACAAATTTATTAGAGCATAA